TTCAGATTACATTCTTATTACAAGTGATTTCAGATTCATTCTTATTACAAGTGATTTCTAACAGTAATAGTAGGAATACAGTAGGAGAATATATTGTAATAGTAGGAATACAGTAGAAGAATATATTATAATAGTAGGAATACAGTAGGAGAATATATTATAATAGTAGGAATACAGTAGGAGAATATATTATAATAGTAGGAATACAGTAGGAGAATATATTATAATAGCAGGAATACAGTAGGAGAATATATTATAATAGTAGGAATACAGTAGGAGAATATATTATAATAGTAGGAATACACTAGGAGAATATATTATAATAGTAGGAATATATTTTAATAATAGGAAAACACTAGAAAAATATCTTGTATAGAAGGAATATACTAGGAAAATATTTTGTCAATAACTAATCCATTTTTTTGTCCATTAGGTAGATAGAACAGTTGTGGGAGACCATGTTTCACTGGTTCTTAGTTGCTTTGGACTAACAGGCCTGACTGCTTTGCTTGGAATTTGGGTGAAAGGTCATATTAAGCCAAGTTGTAATCAGACTGTTGTTGTAAGTGGAGCTGCAGGTGCAACAGGCTCTCTTGCTGGACAGGTTAGTGTGCTTATACCAGTTACAGTTTAGTGTTTAAGAAATACAGTGAACTGTCTGCAGTGCTTTGTTTTCCACATCTGCTGTATAATTGTAGCATTAATAGTGATTTACTCAATATTCTTGCACAATAATATTAATAATCTGTTTGCGGTAAAATCTATCTTTACTCCAAACAGTGTGTACAGGGCAGATGAGAAAATGTTACTTTCCGTGAACTTTCCTTAACTTGTGTAAAAGTGATGAGTTTTGAAGATAATTAGCCCTTTAATGTCTTCAACTAAAGTTTGTGGAATATGCTGCTTGAGAAAAATTTGTAATTTTACACTAAAATGATGTTGGATGAGAAATTTCAAAGATACATATATTGCCTCATAAGTACAAATGTTGAGTATAGATTTTGTGCCAAACCTTTTGAACCTGTATTTAACAGTGCAGCACAAGTGCTAATTTCTATTTTTATTCTGCATTCAGTACATATGCTTGTATCAGTACAAACACACATTAAATAAACACAGATTGAATGTACTAAAACTAACATTACAAAATGCAAATATGAGGCAAATAAAGCATATTGGGTGCACTTGTACTGTGTACCTCATCCACCATATAGGTCATGCTTGCAAAGTGGTATTAGCCTATCACTGAGATGTAACTCATATGTAATTGTTTGTGTAATATAAGTTGGTTAGTTTGGTTCTTTGTGCTCACTGCATACCATTGCTTGCATCTGTTGTTGTCCACGATGGTCACATATTGGGATTTACAACATCCTTTGAATTACTACAAGTGATATTATAATCATTCTTTATTACAAGTGATTTCAGATTCATTCTTTATTACAAGTGATTTCAGATTCATTCTTTATTACAAGTGATTTCAGATTCATTCTTAATTACAAGTAATTCCAGATTCATTCTTAATTACAAGTGATTTCAGATTCATTCATTATTACAAGTGATTTCAGATTCATTCTTAATTACAAGTGATTTCAGATTCATTCTTTATTACAAGTGATTTCAGATTCATTCTTTATTACAAGTGATTTCAGATTCATTCTTTATTACAAGTGATTTCAGATTCATTCTTTATTACAAGTGATATCAGAATCATTCTGGATTTTGAAATATAAGAACTGCTTTATAATCTACATGTTTATGTACATAGGCAGCATGCAGATTTGCATTTTGAGTGGAAAAGTTTCTCTAAATATGCACAATTTTGTCTAAACACAAAGTCTTTCCAACGTTAAACATATTTCTAAAAAACTTATTCATAAACAATCCTTGGTGGTTCTTAGCAATTGATTCAGACTGTTCATCCATATTACCCTTAGCCAAACAGCTTTTTGATATCCAAAGCTACAATAAAAGGACTCTAGCTTTTAAATGTCAGATATGATGGGTAAATGTGCTCTAGCTGTAACACTCCATGTGCAATGTGTTATATTCTGCTGTTTGTTTTACCCATATAATCATATAATGTATATATATATATAATACCATATTATTTTATTGTTTTCAGATTGCCAAAATTGAGGGATGTAAACAGGTTGTAGGTATTTGTGGTTCTGATGAAAAATGCCACTTTCTCCTGAAAGAACTTAGCTTTGATGTATCAGTTAATTATAAAACAGAAAGTGTTGAAGAGAGACTGAAAAAGACTTGTCCAGATGGCATAGATGTGTATTTTGATAACGTTGGTGGTGAACTTAGTGATACTGTCATCAAGCAGGTAAGCTGGGAAAAATATTGTATAGAATGATAGTTGAGAAACACTGCTTACATCTCCACAGAACAAACATAGTTGTAATTTGAGTGTTCAGACACACTACTCACATATCCATAGAACAAAATGTAATGTACCAGCCTATGATGTAATCATCATTAAACCATAGCCCTCTATCAATAGGAAAGCAACATATTCTCAAGCACAGTAATCCCCATGAACACTAACATTTCAACAAACACTCATTCTTTTCTTCAGCACAACCTTGTTCAGGTGTGTTTTTCATTCAGATTTATGAACTTTTTGTGCTTATCAATATTTATCTATTTATTTTATTGTTGTTTAAGAAAGTTCCAAACTTTTAAACATTGTAGATAGAACTTAGATTCAAATTATAAGTTTGATTTTGTGATATGGTACATTATCTCTGCTCACAAAAATGTATTTTTCACATGCTGCAAGCCTTGAGCTCTCATGTACCTTACAGTCAACTGGTTTAACTGCACCTTGCATGTAAATCATCATGTGACAACCACCACCAATATGAGTGTGACACACTCTCCTGATGCATGTGACTACCTCTATTCAATTCCACTGAACTATCACTTCTTGTTTGGCAATACTCATGTCAAGACATTTTTGTAGTGTTGTTCAGTTGTGTGTTTTTTGTTCAACTTTGTGATTTTTTTTTATTATTCCGAAGTGGATTTTTTTTTTTTTCTAAGAGTTGGCGAATTTTCATATAACTTATTTTCCCACTTTTTCATTTTTTTTCTTCATCAAATGATTGTGTTTGATTTTTCATTCTTGCATAGTGAATTCCAAAGTTCAGGTTATCACTTCATAGATAATAACTTCTACTAGAGCACTCACACAGGCTACAGGTGAAGGTGACTCGTCTTTGGATTTATCAGCTGTCATCCGCTGTGAGATTGATCATTATATGAGTCAACCTGCTTCTTCTGATCTTGCCCCTATTCATCCCGAACATGCTGAACCTGTTTGGGTCAACGAGGATTTTGACAGCCTTTTTCCTCCACCTGATTCCAAAGTAGTACTACCTCCTCTCCCCAGTAGCTATTTCGACCTTCATTTGCCAATCTCCAGACCCTTCTGTGATCTACTATGGCCCAGTTCTTGGCTTCAGCCTTGCCCCTCACCACTTGGAATTTGTGTTTTTGGTATATACTTGGGAGGGATGCGTTACTTGTGAGAGATGCATCTACCCCCTTTTGTTTTGTTATGGGAACTTTCTCAAGCCGTTTCTGCATGAAATGGCCTTTGGGGGTTTTCCTGATCTTTTTAGTCCCAGGTCAATGTGGCGATGTTGCATTCTTTTTTGTCCTGCATTGCTTCTTGCTTATCTCACCCTACTGGTTCTGCTCAATCTATGCCTGTTCTATTGCCCTGTGCTCCTTCTTCTTCATCTTGTCCTTTTCCTTACTCCCAACATTCCCTTCCTTATGCCCGTTCTTCCTGTTCCCCTTCCTCTTGGCCTCACTGTTATCTGTTATGGCATGTCTTTCCAAAGGCAGGTGGGGGCCAGGTTACAACTTTTTCCACCATCTGGAAACCCTTCATGATAGATCCATTGGTGTTATGGGTTCTGTCAGAGGGTCTATCCCCTCCTCCCCTGTCCTCTTTCCAGGTTTCTTTTCCTCCTCCTCCTCATGATCGTATCTTGTCTAGTCGTCTAGTGGAGTCAGTTCATGATCTTCTTCACAAGGGTGCTGTAGAACATGTGGTTCCTGTGTGTCTGGGTTTTTACTCCTGTTCGTTTTTGTCCCCAGAAAGACAGAAGATTGGGGACCTATTATCGATCTATCCCAGCTGAATACCTTTCTGGACACACCCTGATTCACGATGGAATCGTTCTACCTCTTTCTTTTGTGGTTTTTTTCCTGGGTCTTTAGATGATCAAATTTGGCATAACAGATGCTTCCTTTCATATCCCCATTGCTCAGGAGTCACATCTTTATCTTCAGTTTGTCCATAGGGAGGATGTGTTCCAGTTCCGTGCACTACCGTTTGGTCTTGCCTCGGCTCCTTATGTGTTCTTTCGGGTTGTCCGTGCCTATGCACACTATCTTCATTTGTTGAGTCTTCAGACTCATCATCACATGGACCACTGGCCCTGCTCGCCTCTTCACAAGCCCAATCTGCAAATCACACCTGCTTCTTTCTTTGAGAGTCTGCTCAGTTGGGGTTTCTCATAAAGTTGAAGTACTTTCTCACTCCCACTCAATACCTCATTCATTTGGGGGTCCTCTTCATTTCCCATCTTGGTCAGGCCCAACCTTCTCCACTTTGGCTCTGTTCACAGATGCTTCTTTGGTAGATTTTGGGTTGGTGGTCCTTTGAAGAATCTACTTACCATATCAACCTTACAAGAGCAGGTGGTTATAGTTCATTCTGACTATTCAACTGTTGTCAGTTATATCTCCAAACAAAGGAGTACCAAGTCACTTGACCTCTTATATTGGGCTCACAGATACAACATCACATTCTTGGCATGTCATGTTCCAGGTGTTATGAATCTGTTTGCAGACCATCTATCCCACCCCAAACAAATTCTTCTTACAAAGTGGTCCCTTCATCCGGGGTTTTTTCATTTTTTCAGTGGGTGTGTTCTTACGTGGGTATGTCTCATATTGATGCATTTGCAACCCATTGGAATGCCAAACTTGCTTTCTTTTGGTCTCCTGTCCATACCCCTCAGCTCTGGGGGTAGATGCATTCAGTCAGGATTGGAGGGATTTTCATTTCTGTGCTTACTCTCTGATAAGACACCTATCAAAGATTATTTCTTTCATACAGACCACTCCTTGATGTGTGTTGATAGTTGCTCTGTATTGGCCTGCTCAGTTGTGGTTTCTTCTACTTTGGCCCTTACTGGAGCAGCAACCCATTTCCTTACCTTCATCTAGGTCTCTACTCCAGCAACTGTAAGACTACTGGATGCTTTTCTGGTGGTATATCTATATCTCCTGGGGACTGTCACTCCTGGACTTCATGAGTAAAGCAGATAGGAATTTTTGCACATCCCTACTGACCCGTGATTCTTACAATGTGGGTCTTTTTCCTTTCAAAATTGGGAAATGCAGACACCCATTGCACTGTGTCTGGTGGGTGATACATACAGATCCCCCAACATGTCTCCCCCCCCTTTCTTCTAGTGGAGCATGGGGTCCTTGCCACTTTTTTTGGATGGTGGACCGTAGAGATTTCCTCATAAGTGGGTTTTGTACAATAACAAAATCTCTTAGCCATATCTCGATTAGAAGAGGGCTGTTGTCATTATGTGGCCTCTTATACACACATTATGGTACTATGTCTATCATGCAAGGTCCTTCCATTGGATTCTTTCTGCCCAGATGGACTGCACTTGACATAATCCAATGTTTATCAAGGGGCTTCCCCCAGATGTTTTTGCCAGGGTAGACCTCACTTGGCTTTCTTGATATCAATCCAATATGTTTACCCTGGATGTGTTTGCCCAGGCAGACTGCACTTGTTGGTTTCTCTATCATCGTTATGCTGCATTTTACACATACAATATGGCAAGAAATTTCTTATGAAGGCACTTCTTCTGGATGTTTTTGCCCAGATGGACCGCACTGGACATGATCTAACATATACCAAGGGAATTCCCCTGGATGTTTTTACCTGGGTGAACCTCAGTTGGCTATCTTGTTCTAAATCCAAGGCACTTTCCCTGGATATTTTTGCCCAGGTGGACTGCACTTGTTAATTTTACAAATTTATGCAAGGTGCTTCCATGTTGTTTTTGTCCTTGGACCACACTTTGCATAATACATCGTATCCCAAGGTGCTTTCCCTGGATGTTTTCTGCCTAGGCGGATCACACTTGGCATATTCATATATGGGCTTCTAGCCCTAACCAAGTATTCTTTTCATTTTTGCCCCACGTGCCTTATCTTCTTTACTGGGTGAAGATAATACCTGTTCCAGAGGTAGTGCTATACCCCAAAGCTGTGCCTCGTATTTTAATAGTGGCATACCTACCTTTTTTTTAGTAGTTGCTCTCCACTTGATTATTTGTTTTTCACCTTCACTGGCCCCTCCACCTTTCGAATGTGTGGGATTCTAGATATGGGGGAGAGGAGGTAGTACCATTTTGGAAGTTAACATTTTCTAATACTGAAAATGTATTTTCGATAGGTACTTACCTCTGTTCACCCACTTTCCACTGATTTGCTGGTGTTTTCGGGTTTGTATTAGTTTGTTAAGAAATTAATGTTGCATTGTAGAACACTTTCATTAACCACCCCCAAAACGTACATCACGTATAATAGTTAAACAAACCTCCTAAACATTATGTTAGTGTAGCCTATATAATGTGTAAAGTTTATTGTACTCTAATCCCTTATAGTGATGGCATATGACGAGACACAAATTAGGCATGTAATGCTCTTTGAATGCAAGAAGGAAAACAATGCCTCTGTAGCCACAAAGAATATCTAAGAAGTTTATGGAAATGTTTTGAACATTCATAAATGTCAACAATGGTTCAGCAAATTTCATCCAGGTGGCATGTTTGACGCAACACAAGATTATGGAGTTGGGGTGGAAAGTTCTCCCTCACCCACCATATTCTCCAGATATGGCACCATCAGATTACCATCTTTTTCATTTGCTGCAACACTATTTTAATGGTAAAACGTATGCAAATGTGGAAGGTGTTAAAGAGGACAATGACATGTTTTTATGCTTCAAAGCCAAGTGATTTCTT